AAATAAAATTATATGAAAAAATGTAGGCTTAAGTAATTTAAATGTTACAAGTAGATTTAGTGTATTTAATGTTTTAATATCTAAGTATTATTTCTATTTGCATTAGTTATGTATTTATTTATTTGTTACTCAAGAATACTTCCCACAGTCATTTCAAAAGTCTTTGAATATTACCGTCAAATTACATTTATTTAATATGACTTATTGCTTCAATGTCCATCTTCTGACATTGTACCCTAAAATCATCAATACAGGGTACATATATGTACCATTAACTACTTGGGAACATAATTGTACCTTTCAAGCCTTCAAAAAGTACAAATATGTACTGTAAGGTACAATCATTAGCTCTATAGGGGGTACAAAAGTCCAGAATGTACCTCAGGGGACAGAAATGTACTTAGAATACACAAAAATGTACTCCTACTGTACCCTATTTTCTGACAGTGTAGGAATTTGCTTCGGTGTAAAGGTGCAGTAGGTATCAAATATAACAAATGAAGAAAAAACAAAGGATAAAGGAAAATATAATAAAATATATAAGACATACGTACACAAGTTCAGTACAGATTCAGATTACCCATGTTAAAAAATTCCAGTAAAAAACAAAACACATAAATCTGCTGTATCTGTGCACCAAACTGCTCAAACATGTATTTCAGATTGTTTTGGACTTGTATTTGCTTGGTTGCTGAAATAAAAAAAAAGGAGACTGGTTTGAACAGAGTTTGAACCTTTTTATCGGACACAAGGAATTTTAAATCTGAACTGCTAAATGGAAGCTGCTCAACTCTCCTAAAAAGGTTTTAGGGCCTCAAAGAAGCCTCAAAAACTTTTCCACCAAAAATGAACAGCACCACCACCTCACAATTCATTCAAAACAGAAAGAAAAAGATTTTGTTTTTGCTCTCAACTCCCAGAAGCCTTTGCAGCAACAAAGAGTTCAGGCGAAGTTTAATGCAAAGGAAGGATTTCAGAGCTGTCACAAGCAGGCGTGGAAAAAGTTTCTCTGCTGAGAAACATGATGAAGAGTTTAGAAAACAGGAAGAGATCTGCTGCGTCTTCCTGCCGTCAGCKTCTTCATTTATTGATGGGAAGGAAAAAAGTGAAAGATTTGAATGAGATTATGTGCAGCTAAGCAATTATCTTCTTCATTCCTCCTCTTTCATCTTTTCCTTCACTACTGCGCACAAAGACCAACAACTAACAAGAAAGACTTTGTTCTGTAAATATAAGTTGGACTTAAGATCAGCTTGCATCACTTTAGAGATACTGTCTGTACAAGAAGAGGAAAAATAGAGTTGCCCACAGAGGAGTGAAAGAAAATAATGAGGATGGAGACTATACTGTAGCAGCACTACAAGAATAGGAATTTGAGTTTTAAATGTACTCATGCTCCAAGTTTGGGAGGCACTTCAAAATGCGCCTCATGCCCACAGACTTCAGTWCCTTCTGTCACTGTTTTTAGGAGCAGTCATCCCAGCAGACCTGGTTTTTCAGAATAAAAGGTTGCAAGTTGTCTRTCTGCCTCTCCGAAGACAACAGCATCACAGCTGTTCCAGCATTCAAAACACATAAAAAAGTGGGTAACCAAAGCGCAGTCTGGAAACTTCACCTCAGACTTGTCCCAGAATCTCCTTTTGTGGTTCAAATGTWGTTTGGACTCCCAGGAATTAAGAGGGGAAACAAGACTGTGCAGTGAACTACATGCTGACTGAAAGACAGCCACAAAACTTTGATTCAAACCAGTTAAAATTAGCCTCATTTTTCTGCCAAAAGAAAACATTATTTATGTGCTGGGTTACAGTTTTTTTTTTCTCTCTCCATATTTAAATAATRGCCAACAAACTATTTTAGAAAACTAAATAAATGATGACTGACATCTTTAAACCATATCATGGATCAGCTCAGCATTTCAGACAAAAAAAATATCTAGTTTTTATAGTTCTTCTATGTCCTCAGCACTACAGTATGAATGGCTAAAATAGAATAAAGTGCAAAAATGTATGGAAAAGTAACAAACAGGAAAACAATAGTGTGGGTGCTGAATCAGCAGTTACAATAACAACCCTSTTGTCCCCCACTTGTGAAGATTTTTTTTCCTGCCAGAATTCAAACTCGGGCCCCACAACTAGGCAGCTTCACACAAAATACTGCATTGTTGCAAAAAAAAAACAACAACTATGTAATACTTATTCCATTTTAAATCTGTGCAGGGCTTGACATTTGACACCACAATACATTTCTTTTCAACTTCTTTCTTGACTTTTCAGCCTTGCAGAGAGAGCACTTCACCTTGTGCCTGAAGGAACACAACTCAGAAAAAAAATCTTTAACCTAGCAAAAGTTAGCAATCAGCACCTGCAATGCTTTTGAWAGTGATTTCTTTTGTAAATATATCCATTCAATCCCTCTGTTAGCCTTTATATTTCTTGTCCTCTTGCAGCTGATGTTTTTTTTTTATTTATTTATTTTTGGTGAATTTCCTCCCTGAGGTTACATTCACATTTTCTTGCTTAAGTGCAAGAGCCTACTTTTTCTTTTTCTTCTTTGTAAGCTTAAGAGTGGGGCAGAAAAAAAAGATGTGAGCTTGTGAAGTCCATTGAGCCCATCTGTAGTGGTCTTAAAAATATGTCTGACATGACTTTTTTTTCTGCCTTTKCTGAATTTCAATATTTTCGTGCCATTTAGAAGAAAAAAACATCTTCTGCACACTGAATAACTTTTAGCTATGTCATAGCAATACGTATATTTATCTAAGAAAAACTCAGACGGTACCACGTCTATTAAAGAAAATAATCACCATTCAGTAGTTTTCTTTAAAGGGGACCTATTTTGCAAAATTCACTTTTTAAAGGCTATTTTTACTCAACCTTGGGTATGTACTTCTTAAAAAAGCAATCCAAGGACCAAAAAAATGCACCCAGGGCATATTTGCTGTAAGTAAATGTATTTTTAATG